TATTAGACCTCTTTGTTCTTTGGTCCATTAGATGTTTTATTGATGCTGAAACCAGTCACGAAACCTACTGACCTTCTGTAGCTTAAACGGATCCAGATGGGAGGGGTCAGTTCTTGTTGTCTTAGTATTGTGTCGACATGGAGGTGGCCTGGCAAATCATTAGCTCCGTGTTTTCTTTGTAAAGATAAGCAGAGCGAGACAGGAACTCATTGGAGAAAGTTGCCGCCTGGCTGGCCATGGTTCAGTTTTTTACGACTCTCATATAATGGTGTGATGTTCAGGAAATGCCTTACACACTCTTTCCAGCTCCACTTTTACCCACCATCACGATCCTGAGATCTGTGCACTCACCAGGTTGTATGTGGCTGTTCTGTATGGCCTCTGAGACTGAGTTTGATATCAGACAACAAACAAGTAACAAAAAAAAATATATATATATAATAATAATAAGTTACATTTAATTTTCAAGAAATGTGTCATGAGTTTCTTTTATGCCAAAAATCTAATATATAAAATAAATATATAAAAAATGTATTATCATTAGTAATATGCATTGCTAAGAACTTCATTTGGACAATTTTAAAGGCAATTTTCTCAATATTTAGATTTTTTTGCACCCTCAGATTCCAGATTTTCAAATAGTTGTATCTAGGCCAAATATTGTCCTAACCTAACAAACCATACATCAATGGAGAGCGTATTTATTCAGCTTTCAGATGATGTATAAGTCTTAATTAAAAAAAATTGACCCTTATGACTGGTTTTGTTGTCTAGGGTCACAAATGTGCTCCCTTTACACAGAACACGTGCTTAAAAGTGAAAGTGAACAGAGAGCGCTCATTCAAAAGCGATTTCAATACCCAGAATATTGATAGCGGCTCCCTGATGCACGGAAATCATATACAATATTACAATGTTTGCGGTCCGGGCGGGAGTGGAACATGCAAGTGGCGGGATTGGGCGGTAATGGTCAACAATTTAGGTCGCTGTGATTTTGCCAAGTAAGACATGATCCTGGATCAAAATAACTGTCCAAAAAGTCCCTACCCCTAACCCTAACCCATAATGTATTCCTAAAATCAGAGAGAAATTAATAACAAGGGTGTAGAAGCATCTAACATCTGATTGTAAGCATAAAACTGGCATTTCTTGAAAACGTATCCCTCAGATATGATTGGTTGATTGGGATTTTGATGCAGGAACATGTTGTACTTGTTATAATCACATTCACCAAAAATTAAGCAGGAGCGGGATTTAGAAAACGGTCCCTCACAGGGCTTTACTGTCAACTACCAGAAACAAAAAGCACAGTTTATAATTCATTTCTCGGTATGGTATTAAACTAGCTGTATTCTGTGAGTATCACATTAGGTTATTTAATTTAGACTTACCTTTACGCCTATGTGTTGATGACATTATATCCATGCAGTTTGCTTTTGTCGTTCAAAGTCTCCTGTCTTTGTCTGTTTGAAGCTGACACAGGAAGTGTGAGCAGCCTGCACGTCCTCACAGTTTAAAAAAAATAATTAATAAAAATCGGCCAGCATCACCCATTGGCTGCATGTGACACCAGAAAGTAAATAACTTGCAGAACTGTATGTTTTTGTCTGTGGCCTACCTATGTTTATTTAGTCTTGTCCATTTGTGTGTCATATTAGTACACATAAAAATGTGGGGAAAAACAAGTAAAATCCATAAAAACATTTAAAGGAACAGAATAATGGAAACATTAGTTGTTTGTGTCCAACTCTGCAAAATACTAGATCATTGACTTTAGAGATAAGAGGTACTTTTCTTTTCAATCAATATTTGAAATTGTAATTTGTAACTATACATTTATTTCTAACAGCTGTGTGTGTGTGTGTGTGTGTGTGTGTACCTGGTATTTATCACGTTATGGGGACCAAATGTCCCCACAAGGATAGTAATACTAGTAAATTTTGACCTTGTGGGGACATTTTTGAGGTCCCCATGAGGAAACAAGTTTATAAATTATACAGAATGAGTTTTTTTGAGAAAGTAAAAATGCACAAAGTTTCCTGTAAGGGGTAGGTTTAGGGGGAGGGTTGGTGTAGGGCAATAGCACATACAGTTTGTAAAGTATAAAAACCATTACGCCTGTGGAATGTCCCCATAAAACATGGAAACACAACATTGTGTGTGTGTGTGTGTGGGCGTTTGCATAAGTGCGTGCTGTATTTATGCTGTGTGTGTGGACATAATTATGAGATGATATTGTCTGGCACTCAGATGCTGATTTACTCCCACATGTGAGAACAAAGAGAGTGTTTCTACAAACACAGATGAGAGTCCAACAACAGCACAACACTCACACAGACGCTCCTCAGACACTGTAAGTACTGAAGAAGCTTGCAAAATCATGTCTTTGAATTATACCTCTGAAGTGTTTTTTTTTTTTTTATAAGGTTGCTTTTAATTTTAGTAATATAGTTTATACAGAATGCTTGTGTTTCTTAAAAGGTGAAAATATGTTGGTAATACTTCACAATAAAGATTCATTTGTTAACATTAGTTATTAAAATGTTGTTAACAATTAAAAACACTTCTAAAGCATTATTAATCTTAGTTAATGGTAATTTAATTATTTACTAATACATTCTTAAAATCAAAAGTTGTATCTATTAATACTATTTAATGTAACATGAATTAACAATGAAGTTTTATTTTATTAACTAACATTAACAAATGTTACATAAACATTGTAAGAAATGAATTATTGATAGTTAATGCATTAACTAGTGTTAACTAATGGAACTTTAAGTGTTACTGAACAGTAGTAGTTTACTTAAGCAGTTAAGCAGTTTTACTTAACCGTCATAGTGAAATTCATCATTTTCAAATTCTGTAATAATGTTAGTGGCTATGATGTTTGTAATTAATATAAATAATCACCCTAGTTAATAATAATTATGCAAAAATAAATAATGCATAATTTTGATTATATTTATAAAAAGTTTCTAATTTATTACATTAAAATATTTACAACAGTACACTGTAAAAAAATAAGTGTAATTTTAACTGTAAAAATTTGTAAAAACGCTACGGAAAAAAACTGTTAATAGGTTAACAGTAAGTTCCCGTACTATATACAGGGAAAAACCAGACATTTCATGTAATTTTACAGTAAAATGCTGTTAATTTGACTGTTGGGTCATTTTATTGTTATTATGAAAGTAGTTGTTAACTAAATTGATGCAAAACTTAACAGTTAGGCAATAAAATATAATCTAGTGTTTATTCATTTCTTTGTAGATCACTATATACATGTGCATTATATAAATAAAGAAAAGAAGTATTTCAAAAATACAATAAATATTTGAAAATGTAAGTGTTTCTGAAATGGCACTGCTGACGATTTTAATTTAATTTAATTTAATTTTATTTAATTTTATTTTATTTTA